TGGCTTAGGACTGAGTGCCACAAACAGAGTTGGTAAGTTATAGTTGGAAAGTATAGAGGGACACGCATTATTGGTTGGGTCTTTTTTAATATATACATATATCACCGGCTTTACCCTTAAATGGTTACTGTATACTGCTGGGTTTATCTGTAGCATCATATTTCATAAGTAGATTATATGTTTTGTAAAAAGTACAATACTTATGAAGTAGACAGTTTCAGAAAATAGAAAATAGTCAAGTAAAGTACCACAAAATGTTTACGCAGTACTTGAGAAAATGTACTTAGTTGCCATCCACCACTATCATTATATCAGTATCAGCCCACTTTCCAGAGCTTTAAGCCTCTCCAGAGTGCAGCAGTTTGTCTGGTGGATACTCCCTCCAACCACACCTTTTATAGCACCCCTCAGGATGCAACATGCCCCAACTACATACAACACGTCACTACTAATCAGTATTCGGTTTTCATATTAAGCTTCTCAGCGGGCGCTGCCCTAGATAATAGCCCATCTTGTGGCTTCAGTGTATAGAATGCTTGTATATTGTACCTTGTATCATTCCTACTACTTCTTTCTGTGAAGCTGAACTATAATGTGTTTGCCCACAAGACATCCTTTCATAACCTGCTTTTCTTTTGTGAATGGTTAATTCAGCACTGCATGACATTCTATGAGATAAAAGCATTACGTTTTTAGGCTTCTTCTCTGCCACATGTTGATTTTGCTGTGATGGAGGAGCGTGGCATGATGTGCAGATGGATACTGGATCCATTAGTGAAACTAAACTGAGTGTACTGAATTTGTGATCATTCAATTACCATAATATACAGACTCGACATGCAGGGAAGCAGTGAATTATTCCTTCACTCAAGTGAAAAACACAGAATTGCATCGCTCTGTCTCACAGGCTGCATCCCATCACTCCTGCCTTCTTTGATTTTCTCAGTCAGCACTGTATATTACACTCCTGCTCTCTGTGTTTGTCTCTCTTCAGCCCGGGGCGCTCTCCATCCTGCTATGACAATGAAATAGTGATGATGAACCATGTCTACAAGGAGCGCTTCCCCAAGGTCAGCCTCACACAAACAAATAAGTGTAAACTATGCATACATACACACATCAAGTACACACACAAACAATATACATGCAGTCATTGGCCACCTAATTAGCTACACTGAAGGAATCAGATGTTTCTAGTGATTACAGTAGCTGATGATATGTTAAGTGCCACAGGGGGTGAACACGCATCCAGAACAACTTGTAAACAAGCTATAAATCATTCTCTGGAACAGGAGTTCACAAGGTTTTCCATGCCAAAGCCCATCAAATAACATTAGCTTATGGCTGGGGTCCCCCTTTTGAGAACACTGTGGCAAATACAAAAAGCCCCTAACAAGTTAAAATAATTTCCTTATGTTATTAATGCATTAATTAATTGTATTTTAAATCTTGAATCATTCCATTAGATTCAATATTTCTGTTTTCCATTATACACATTGTTTGTCAGTTTAGTTTAACATTCAACAACATTGTGTGCGTGTTTGGGAGTGAGATCTGCTCGTCAGGTTTTTTCCTTTTCAAAAAAAAAGCTAGCTAGGTAGCTAACTTTAAAGAGCAGCAGACTTGTGACAGGCGCAGACTGCTATCAGGTCAACGGTGACAGTTTATATGATGAATGACATTTTACGTACTTCCCTTATATTTTCTGAGGCCCCCCTGAGACCCCCTGGTAGCCCCCACACTGCTCTAGAACAGTGGTCCTTATAGTTCGTCCAATGGAAGCAGGACACAGTTAATAGGAGAGTTTTTACTGTGAAAAAACTAAAATATAGATAATAAACACAAAGGGTTGATCCTTGGAGAACAATAGCTCTTTGGTTTGTTGGAAGATGTGCGCATTTCTACAGACCTGTTCCCTCTGGGATCCAGTGCAATGACTTCAAGAACAGAGAACAGTGTTGCCACATGCTTTTGAGACTCTTTGTGAGAGGCCGGCTCCAGGCAAACAGCAAATCTGACAGTTCTTGCTAGGTTGAAAGGATTTCACCATAGCCTGGGATGTAGACAGATGCCAGCACAGTCTTGGCGTTGTAGACTAACATCAGGGACTTAAATCTGATGTAAGCCACTACAGGAAGCTAATGTAGGAACACATGAGCAACACTAGGGAAGCATCCGGGGATACATATATGTCTTGTTTATATCCGGAAGGATAAACTAAAAAAGTAAACTAGCAGAAAAGAAGCCACAAGCCACAAGGAGAAGCTGAGTCGTAGTGAGATTTAGGGGAATCGATGGAAGAAGTAGTCGGTACCAGCACTGGACCTTGGAGGACAGATAGCAATGGTTCACCTTTGCTCAAAATTGTATTTTTTTCTCTTTAAATCCTGGATACAATAAAGTCCGGAAAAGTTCCTCATGGATCTTGGGATCACACAGGAAGACGTTAGTGGAAGCATAATATGTTGCAAACATTACCTATGACCTTATCCCAAAGGTCAAACTACAGGCTGTGAGAATGAACCAACATCCCTTAAGTAGTCCTGAATACATCCTATACTAATGTGTTGTCAGAGATTCCCTCATGCACATTGCTCTTGTACTAAGCTGTTATCTCAGTATGTCTGCGCCCTTGTTACTTTGAGGGAGGCTTACCAATTCTCCTCTGACCTCCAACATAAAGACAGCTTTTAGTCAGAAGGTGACTGAGGTTTTATTTCACTGTTCTTGGTAAGCTGTTGACACTGCAGTGTGTGAAAACCCTTGGAGGTTGGCCATGTCTGAGACACTAGACCTGACCTATGATTCATTGATCATGAGCTCAAAATCAATTAGATCACGTATCTTGTTCCAGGCCAATATGTAACCAAACTGTAAACTAACCTCTTAAACCTGTCTGCATGCGTTATCTACTGAATACATGACTCAATGTCTGAGAGAGCTAACTGTGTCTATGAGCAGGGAAGCGTAAGCCAGAAAATTTAATTCACTCTGGAAGCAGGTTTCCTCAAACACCTGCCTGTACACACACACACACACACACACACACACACACACACCGTCACCATCATCCTGTGCTCATTCACAGTAATGCATTGTGAAGCGGCGCTAAAGAGTCTTCCCACATACTATTGTGACTGAAGGCTCAACATGGCTGCATCTTCACTGTCATCATACAGAGAATAATTAGCAGTTGTTTACCTGAAATAGATATTTAACGTTAGCCTCAGTTTTGATGTTGTCACATTTTGTTTAAAACATTTGTTACACAGGTGAGTGACTCTAGCTATAGCAGATTTTGTCAGCATCATTTAGACTGCCTTGAGCTCTCCTCATTAGACTAATCAACTACTCTTTCTTTTTATATATTCTTTGTTCAGTGTGACATTTAAAGTGGCTCTAATGGATATTTTTATAATAATGATTGTGAAAACAGTTTGACTATGTGAAATGTTGAACCTACAGATAATTATCACCCAAGTCTACAGTTCCCATCGAGTGACCCATTGTCGGGTCCACAACTTTCCTGTTTTGGTTCACTTTCATTGCTCTTATAGCGTAGTTTTTTGCTGTTTCCAGTGAACAATCTCCAGTCTGAACAGCAGACAGACACAGTTAACAACCAGCTGGTGAACAAAGTGGAGCCTTTAGCTGCTAAAGAGACTGATATTTCCTTCAGGAGTTGATAGAGACCAAAAACGTACTTACTGGACTTACATTCATCAGACTCCAAGTTTCCCTATACTAACTTAAAAGGTAATAATGTCAATATTGTGTTCAGTGCTGCCCTCATGTGGCCAAAAAAATCAGTTTCGTAGGTTTAAATGACATTTGAATGTTTTGTCCCATCTGAGCCACTATATATGTTCGGATGTTTAAGCCAAGTTTGATCAATTAGACACCAAACATGTCATACAGACAGAAGAGGTAGTTAAGGTGTTGTAGCCGGGATGGCTCAGTCCAGGAGAGGAAGGGGATAAAATTGCTGCCTTTCTGGATTTGATGTGAAGTCTGTGAGAGTTGATTACATTAACTTCTCAACAGCTGCCTGACAACATTACAGTAACTGACTGTTCACCGTCTTGTATTTAATCAGGCCACAGCTCAGATGGAGGAGAGGCTGGCAGAGTTCATCCAGAACTACTCTCCAGAGAGTGTTCTGCCACTGGCCGACGGGGTCCTCAGCTTCATCCACCACCAGGTAGCTGAGCTGTCCAGGGACTGCCTGACCAAATCACGCGAGGGGGTCATTACCAGCGTCTACTTCTGTGAACTGCAGGAGAACCTGGAGAAGCTGCTGAATGATGTAAGTTTTGACATGGCGGTGTAGAGGAAGGTAAAAGGATATATTTTGCCTCATTTCAAGCTCTGCACCTCTCTAACTGACCATTATCTGTCTGTCTGTCTCTCACTCACTACCAGGCTTATGAGCGCTCTGAGAGTTCGGAGCTCACCTTCGTCATTGAGCTGGTCAAAAAGCTCTTCATCATCATATCTCGTCCAGCCAGGCTTCTTGAGTGTTTGGTGAGTTCCATCTTTCTGCTGATAATGCAGACACACACACAGACACACACACACTGATACTCAACACACACTGATACAGATCCACCAAATGAGCATTTATTGAATCAAGTGACAAGATCTTCACATCACATTCTGAGCGTGTTCTGCTTCATCTGCTGGAAAGACTCCTGTCCTCCCACATAGAGATGGAGGGTCAACTACTTCACACTGAAATGGCATTAAAGGATGAGCAGAAGTAGGGCAGGTTGTCTACTGTGTATTCAGTCTGAAGTGATGAAACACAGGTTTGCTAAGTGTGTCACAGTTGGAAGCTGAGATGTCACTCTTAAAAGGGATACTGAGTTTCAGGCTTTTTTAAAATCTTTTATACTACATTTGTTTTACTTGTGATGAGTAGAAATACCATTTTTTCTTTTCTTTTTTGATCAATTTTAAATAATTCTTTTAAATCACATTTGGTGGGGGCATAGGGCTATAAAATAATGAAGATGTATTTATTTACTCATACAAGGAAACTTTATATATTGTATATATTGAAATATAGAAATCAAAAATCTTCAATTACAGCAAATTAGAAACACAAATACTGACCCACAACTAATATGGGAAATATAGGATCCAGCATTTTTGGGACTAAAAGTCAGGATATCTCGACTTCTTTTTTTAATCTGTTTCTTCCCCAACTGTATGTAAATGTCATACTGAATTGCTGGAGTTCTCTTTAAGCCTGCGAACAAAACTTCTTCAAGTCTTAGGGATGATTTGTCATGTATTTAAAAAAATTCAAAACATTACAAAACAGGGTACATACAGTAGATATCCAATATGTCACTGAAGAAAACTATTGCAGTGGTGGTGGCATTGGCTCACAGAACATCTGGGGTGTTGTTCACATTCAAACACAGGATCCACAAATCCATTTCAACAACTTATTTCATTCACTGGGTTGGTTATGATGGTTCAGACAGGTGGTTGGTGGATTTTTAGTACGTTCTCTCTTTGTTCTGGGATGGTTTGGAGGGACATGAGGGGAAATCTGATCTGAAGGCCGGAGATATGTAATCTTGTGGGAGTGGTTTAGTGAGGAGTGGCAAGAATGCAGGTGGGGAGGAGACTTGTGATTTAACACACACGCAATCAGGGTTATTGCCCAGTAGGTTGTCACATATATGGAATTTGTCTTGGTGTTGTGGTGCATAACAATAAACATAGTAATAGAAAGGGAAAAAAACAAGTACTGCAAAAGTCAAGAATCCTACATAGAAAAATTTACCACAAAAAATATGTCAAATGTATGTTGTTTTAAAAAGAACTGTACAGGTTTGCAGAGATAACAATCCAAAGCATGTTTGTTTATGTAATGCATTGAGTCAGATGTGGAGACTTAACATTAATGTAACATATAGTGACCATGGGGCAGGATAATATATCAGTGGTGTTGAGACCAGCTGCAGTTGTGATGAAATGATGGTGAAATGATCAACGTGGGTGCATTCAAAGGTAAACCAGTTGATATGAAAACACAGTACCAGTTCTGCTGTTCGTTCCGCATTTGTGTTGCATATTAACCATGTTTGCTTACATTTGGAAAAGGCTGTTATGAACGTACGATATTCTGCATTAGAGGTCATGGTTTTATTTAGGCTGTGTCATTCAGTACAGCAGACAATGCTGCATATCATCATGCTTATTGCCGCAGGATATTTTTGCAGCTTAACTCGAAACTGTAAAATATTCTTTACACCTCCACCACTTGTCAGTCTTGTCAGCAGCACATCAGATCAGCTGGGAGACAGATGCATGTCCTTGACATGTTGATGTACATAACTCACTTCCACTTACTTAGTAGTAACAAGCTCTCTCTGTATACACTGGAGGATTAGCCATACCTGCATATCAGCTCACTGGTTGATGGCCTCACATGTTCGTCATTGGCGTGGTCCCTCCTCCAACCCTCCTGTCTCATCTTTCCGTTGCCAAGGCGACCGTCGGAAGAGGTCGATAGGGTCAGGCAGGATGTGGAGGGGACTTAAGATCCTCCTGGCCCTTAGGTTACAGTGGCGAAGACACACACACAGATAAAAATGTTGTCCACGGCTGTAGAGTTCATTTAGTATTCAAGTCAGTTGCGAGGTCTGATTTGGTGAAAATGTCACAGTCAGAAGGCTGTTAGCTGCCAGAATATTATCCTGGAGCAGAGCAAGCTATCAGAGAGGCAGGTTAATTCCCCCCCTCCGTACTTTGTCTTTTTTTCTCTGGTTGAGGGGAGCAGATATGAGAGAGCAGGGGAAGAAGGAAATGATCCCGACTGCCCCTGGCTCTGCTTTCTAATCAAAATGTTATTCCACCAACAGGAATGAAACTGAATCCCACAGGACACCACAAAAGGCTGTTTCATTGGGAAAAAAAAGGATGTTTCAAGAAAGCAATTTAAAGTTTGGAGGTGTATTAACACTGATTGTGTTTGTTTGACAACCCCATAGCGGTGTTTGGTCATGAATTTGCAGCAGGTTGAAGTAAATCCTAGTTTTGTGATTATAAGTTGTGCACAATTGGAATTTCTTTGATGCATGTTTGTGGTTTTCAGTTCAATAACGGTCATCCTTTGTTAGCTGTTATCACGTCTCTTTGTTACCGCTAACTAGGAAGTTAGTTATCATGGTTCAATACTCAGCTATAGGGTTGAAAAAATAATCAATATTGTGATGTACTGTGATACATTCTTTTGTAATATGTTATCAACACATTAACACCAGTGCCAATGGCCGTTTTTGATGATATTGAGATATCAATATTTGGGAGAATAAAACAACAACTCTGATAAGAATGGTCCAGCTTGTTTTCCTACAGACATTTGAACTCTGAACTGTTCTGCTATTTGAACCTCATTTGAACCTTTTGCAAGTTTTGCATTAATTTGTGATTATATATAATACTGTGAAACTGAATGCTGATTGTTGCATAGGACAGGCATTTAATACAGTCGATAAATTGATTTGTTAATCCACATAAAATGAATTAGCAAATTTTATTATTTTTTAAGCAAAAGTGCCAAACATGTACTTTTCACTATCTGTGATAGTAAATTGAAAGTCTTTGGTTTTTGACTGCTGCTCAAAAATGCCACCTTGGACTCCTGGAAACTGTGATGGTCATTTTAAGACCAACAATTATTCCATTAATTGAGAAAATAATCATTAGTCATAACCCTAAATAATGCTTTTTATAATTATTTTCTTACACTATATTTTATTCAGTTGACTCACATCATCACCTATATCGTGATACCATCATTGATTTGTGGGCAAAATGTCCTAATAGTTTTATATCATGATGAGTTACCTACAAGTTACCAGTCTTACAGAGCAATTGCTTAAAATCATTTCAGTCCCTTTTTCTTGAACTCACATGAAAATCTATTTGAGGATCACTGAAATATTGCAAGGGGATTGTTTTCCTGTTGTAATCCAATACTTCAACGGCAGCAAGTGTTGATTTTTACAATTATCTGTGTTAACAGGAGCTTATTAGAGTTTGTGAATTCACTTGTAGAGAGGTTATGGCTCCAGCACTAGTCTTCAGACCTTTCTAAAGGTGTGAAACCTCTGGACCTGAATATATTTTATATTGCTAAATTAGAAATGAGCAGCGATAGTTTTGCTGTGTCTCACCCACTCTACATTGTAGTAGCTTTTGGAGGTACCTCTGAAAACTACATTTAAATTCTTTTGACTGATGGTAGATATTTAACTATGGTAGCTTAAGCTTTAAGGTGTATTTATATTGTAGTTTCCTTTGGCACTTCAATCTGTTTCTCCTCCAATAAAAGGAGTTCAACCCTGAAGAGTTTTACCATCTGCTGGAGGCAGCAGAGGATCATGCCAAGGAGGGACAATTGATGAAGGCAGACATCCCTCGATACATCATCAGCCAGTTGGGGCTGACCAGAGACCCACTGGAGGGTAAGAGAGAGTTTTTGATTTGTTGCTGTGCTTTCTCTTAGATATTGGCTGGTCCCTCCTTTATATTTATATTGAATTCGAACAAACCACAAATAAAACACACAAAACAGAACACTTGAAAGAATAGTTGTACCTTTTTAGAAATATACTTATCCACTTTGTTCCCCAGAGTTGGACGAAAAGATTGATACCACTCTCATATCCCTGCATTAAGTACATAGCTGGAGCCAGGAGGTGATTAGCTTAGCTTAGCATAAAGACTTAAAACAGTGGGAAGTAGCTATGTAGTCTGGCTTTATCACAAGTAAAAAAAAAAAAACCCTCTCAAGCTCAGAAAATAACAAGTCAGAAGTAGTACGGAAAGACAGTTTGTGGTTTCGAGTTATGTGCTTGTTGGCCAAAAAACAGTTGCATCCTGTCACTTCTTCTAAAACCACAGCTTATTGTTTTTACTGTAACGTGTTTATTAGTGAGCTTTAGAGGTGCTAGTAGCTGAAGAGCTGCTTTAACTAAGCTAAGATAACCACCTCCTACCTCTACCTCCATACCTAATGAACAGACACAAGATCAATCTTTTCATTTAATGCTCATCAAGACAGCAAACAAGCTTATTTCCCAAAATTCTAACTATTCCTTTAAGCTTCTTTGAGTTAGTTATTGTGGTTTCACTCTGGCTTGGCCCATTTATCAACATGATCAGCAGTTGGAGCAGCGACAGTCACTGTGAGTTACAGCTAATGAAGGGAATTAAGGAATTTTTTAATATTTATTTTAAAATCCTCACACCTCATTGCCGCAATTTGCATCAAAATTTATATTCCCTCTTAAAGTCATAACTCAAAGTCAAATTTAAAGTAGCAGACATGATACACACACATTTTTAAATTTTCTTCAGTATCAAAGTAATCTGGTGATAGTTGTCTGAACATCCATAGGTACTACTACTATATAATTTTGCATGCTTATAATGATTCCAATTTGCCAACATATAAAGAAATGTAGGCAAATAAATAATTGGAGCTCAAGTTGTATCCCACAGCTCACTTACTGACTCCATGGCAACATTATTTTGATACTGTTTATATCCACCAATGCCCCCAAATGATGGAAACCGTAGAGCTTGATTATTCCCAAAATAAGACAAACAATAATACAACCCCATTAATATTCACTTTTTTCATGTTGTACTCTCCTCTATTCATTCATATACAGATATCTGCTGTGTTAAAAACCTGTGGACATACAGACAAAAAACATTTAAAATTGCCTGTTGGTGTGCAGTTGACTTAAAATGCTTTACAGTATTGATCAGCGTTAGTGGAGGATATAGGAGATGTAGAGTTTAGACCGGCTGGATCATTAGCTGGCTGGCAGTGCGATGACATCACTGTCTATCATTAATCATCATGGCTCAATCTCGGCCCCCAAACTCACAGTTCTAATCCGCATCTGCTCAGCCGCTCCCCGCCTAATCCATCAAGAGCTGTTCATTAGCTGATGGGTTAAATGATCCGGAATGACTCTTCACAATAAACTGCTGCGGTTTTATTTCTGAATTCATGAAAAATATGGGCCTGCTAGGTTAGTTAATAACTCTCAGTTATTCTCTGCTAACAATGTGCCACTTGATATCTTGATCTTGCACTTTCTTTTGCACCTTCATTGTCATGCATAGACACACATGCACACCCACGTAGCTGCTTGCACCTCCACACTTTCACACTCTCATTTCTTTTCTTGGTTCCTCATAGAGACAAGATCAGTTGTTTTCAGTGTCAAATAGAAACCGACAGAATATTCGATTGTCAGCTCAGTGACTTTTATTTTACATGATGTTAATGTGTACAGAGCGGCTTTGCAAAGTTAATTACTATTAATTTATTTCCTTGTTTTAACAAAACACTACTGCCGTCAGTGTATTCTAGCAGCTGTCACATACAAGAGTGGAAGAACACTGAAAATTAGCTGCCAGTGCTGCTCAAGGAGGGAGGAAGTACAAAGTGAGAGGGAGGGAGAGCTGAAGGAGACAAGAAAAATTAATAGGAAGAAGCTATTTTAATTCTCATGTTTTTCTTTCTGTGATCTGACACATTTGGCCCTTCAGCTGTTTTGAAACTTGAATAGCTGTTTTGTTAAAGATGTCTGAGCAGCTGCAAATTTTTTATCTGCTCACAGCAGCGTGGGAGGCCCGCTGTTTTAGCATGAAAAATGTCTCTCTTCGCTTTGACACCAGGTTTGCTTGTTAACTAACATGTTTCTCAACAGAAATCGTGAGCCTCGACAGCTATGACAGTGAGGGTCCACATACTCCAGAGACCGATGACTCAGCAGAGGTGAAGCACAAATAAACACAGACTGACAGATCTGTGTGTTTACATACATTCACTTACAGTATGACTGACTACACACACACACACACACACAAACACATACACACAGAGGTATCAAAATCATCAAAGAAAGAAAGACATTTGAGCATCTGAACATTTCCTTTAAACCGTCCTTTTGTTGATTCTTTAAATGTTGAATGTGTCACCAGGGAAAAGGGAGAGCCATGAAGCCACCGAGTGAAGAAGATTTTCAGAGCATCAAACTAATCAGCAACGGAGCTTATGGGTAAGCAGTGGATTGATCAGGATTTTCTCTTTTTACATTAAGTAGGCCTTGTGTTTACTTTTTTCCTTCAAACTGCTGTTTCCAAGGTCAACAAATCACATTCATCCTCAATATTATATAGTGCTTTTCATGCAGACTTCAAATATACACTTTTTAATGAAGAATTTATAAAAAAAAATCAATAAAAGATACTACACAATAGTGGAGACTGGAATAAAACTGCTAATAAATCTATTACTACTACTACAACAACACTGTACTAATAATAATAATAACATAATAACATTATGAGGCCGTATTCTGTGGAAAAGTGGCAGTGGTAATATAACATACACAACTTATAATAAATTGGCTTAAACATGAAAACGCACCAATATGTCTCCTGAAGCGTAGATAATAGCTACAATAGATGCACATTAGAACACCGACCCCCAATTTGAGAGGATTTTGTCTTAAGGAATCCCCTCTGAGTATTTGTTTTAATTTTTAGGTTTGAAGATAATGAAGTCTTCATAGTCAATGAATGATCAAACTAGGATCATTATAAATAAGAATCAAACAAAACCGGCAACCTTAGTTCTTCCCTTGTTGTTCCAACTTACGAAAAATTTTATGAAAGTTAAAATATTCTGTTCCTCCCTTTGCTGGGGACCCCCTACAACTCAAGGACTCATTTTGGTTCCTGGATCCCAGTTTGAAAACTACGAGTCTAATTATCAGAACTATGCTATTTATTGTTCAGTAAGATAAGAGCAGAAACACATTTTTATAAACATGGACGAGGTACAACTTCACTATTTACATGTGATACATTTACAATTACTTAAAAAATATATTTATCAGGATAAACTTTAGCATTTTTTTTCTTTATTCTGCCATTTGCTGCATGAATTATTTCTAAAAAAAAAGCAAAATAATTAACTAATAGAGATACTTAAAAGCAAAAAAATAATTAAAGCACCAACACCTAAAGGGATTTTAAGAGGAAATGGTTATATGGTCTGGTCTGTTGAATGACTGTTGAAAATTCACTCTACAACTAACACGCATCAATAGAGATTTTAAAACGATAATGTGGTCCCCTAATGTTGTTGCATTTTAAAAGATTTTCAGTTTATCTCAAGCTGGATTATTCCCCCATTATTTGCATGTGTAAAAAAAAAAAGAAAAAGAAAGAAAGGATATTTCTGAGGTGGGCTCAAAAAGCTTGACATTTCGTGCCAGAGGTATTTAAGTTCATATATCCACTGTATGAAAGGGATATCTAAAAGCAGATGGGATATCCTTTCAGTTCTTAGATCTCCTGACTTTATAATAGTCTCACGGCTGTCTCACCCTGCTGTCCTCCCTCCATACCTCATCTTGGCACCACCATGCCCTTCAGTTTTCACTCTTGGCTCTTTTGTCTTGCCTTCTTTTCAGCGCTGTCTACCTGGTGCGCCACAGGGAGACACGTCAGCGCTTTGCCATGAAGAAGATCAACAAGCAGAATCTGATCCTGAGGAACCAGATCCAGCAGGCGTTCGTAGAAAGGGACATCCTCACCTTCGCAGAGAACCCGTTTGTCGTCTCCATGTTCTGCTCCTTTGAAACGCGGAGACATCTGTGCATGGTCATGGAATATGTTGAGGGTAAGGGAAGTTGGATTTAGTGTTGTCAGCACACTTCTTGAAGTGTCTCTTCTTTTCTACACAGCTTTTAAATCTTCTGTCTGGGTGCTGTGGCCCTGACCATAGCAGTATTAACTACTTTTTGTCTGTAATGACCTTAAAGCTTAAGCTTATTCATCTGTTGCATTTCATTTATTTAATTCTGAATAAAAGTGTCAGCCAAACACCTGAATATCAAATTATGGTTTTGTGTGCTCAGATTCTGGAAATGAAAGTAATATGGTGAAATATAATCACTCACTTACATTTCCAGAAGGGCAGATGAGACTCTTATTTCACTATCACAGTGATTCTCGACCCTGAAAGTCAAACAAGGTCAATAGACTCACACTGATGCTCCAGCCCTACTCATCTTCCTCTCCAGTTGTGCTGAATTTTCTGGAGGGCAGCTCAGGACAGTGTCGTGGCTCTGGCTGCTCTTACGTTGGTGCACAGGACACACTGAGGCATGAAGAGTATTTGTGAATGACTCATGTATGATGACACTGCCTAACAGGGTTTATTGGGTGCAATGGTGGATTTTATCTCTAAAAAAAGAATAGAAGAACAGAAAATAAAATGTTTATACCTATTAATTAGAACAAAAATAGGAATACTATTAATATTACTCACATATTGTGAAGCCATTCTGCTTCATAAGAGGATCTAATTATGTCCTCTCGCTGTGCTTTTTTTAGTGACTCTGTATAACAATAACGTGTGTTTTTCCTGTGTTCTCAGGTGGTGACTGTGCCACATTGCTGAAGAACATCGGGGCTCTGCCTGTGGAGCTGGCAAGGATGTACTTTGCTGAGACTGTTTTAGCCTTGGAATACCTTCACAACTATGGTATTGTCCATAGAGACCTCAAACCTGACAAGTGAGTGTTTAAAGCTGCAGTAATCAATATTTTTTATTAAACACTGGTTCAAAAGACCGTGTGTAATGTGAAACGGGTCGCTGTATCACCGAACTGCAATTCCTTTCAGCTCTAACAAGCATTTTTGTGTTCACCTCATTGTTTTGGTTTTTCAGTCCAAACCTGACTCCAAATTAATGATAATGTTGCTCTGTAACAGCTGGATGTGGAAATAAGCATTTGTTTGCTAACAAATTGATCATTACAAGTGTATAAGGTGATGTCATTGTTAGAGTTTTTTGTTTGTTCTGCTGCCCCAAGTGGCCAAAAATCAATTAATGCTGCTTTAAAATTCTTGTCTGGTGTCAGCGAAGACAAACTAGTAATTGCCACTTAGCCTTATGGTGGTAGCAGCTACTAACACTTAGTTCCCACTCAAGAAAAGAAGGCAGGTCTAACCTACATTACAGCCCCACTCTGGGGGTACTCTGGCCCACAGACAGAAACTAAACCAAAATACTTGAGGGATGAGTGTTATCAGTCATTCCATCAAGGTCTCAACGAAAAGTCACTCTGTGCATTCATCTGCAGCACGCCAGTCTCATGTGTCCATACCTCCTCTCTAGCACTCTCCCCCTGGAGTATTATGGTAACCTGCCCCACTGAGAACGGCAAACAATGGAAAACAATAAATGAAAACCTGTGACCATGACAGCTTTCAAAATAACCACATACTCCAATATATATATAAAGATATTTTATTGACAGAATTTAAAGTGTTGAATAACTCTTTTCTCTCTCCAAATAGTCTACTGATCACCTCCATGGGACACATCAAGCTTACAGACTTTGGCTTGTCGAAGATGGGTCTAATGAGCCTCACCACCAACCTGTATGAGGGACACATTGAGAAAGATGCCAGAGAGTTCCTGGATAAGCAGGTACAGTCCGTAACCTAGAAACTGCGAGTATTGAAGGTTTTTGGACAATAATTGCAGTACTTTATCATTATAAAAGAAGAAAGGCTGCAGACATTTTATCAGCGGACGTATGAATGAGGTCTGTGTAATACAAAATTAGTGCAATTCAAAGATCGGATGTATGGTGGATGAACAGGCGACTGGCATTCACAACATCTTTTAGTCTTCTCCAGCCATGCGTACCAACTTGCCAAGTCACCCGGCAAAATCAATAATCTCCAAATAAAGACATTGCATTACAATGCTTCCTGTGTCGTCTGAATGAGGGAATCATTAATGCTCTCCATCTCCATCACAATACCATTTTGCAATTGTAGTTATTGTTTATGCTCTGAATTAAACCAGTCATAATCAGTCAGATTGGCCATGTGTCCTCCAGCTCTTCTGGGTGGAAACAGACATCTGTTTGTCTGCCAGTAATCAACTCACATCTGTGGATGAAACAGACCAGAGCTTTGCTTTTCATGTTTCTAGTGGAGATTGTGATTAGGAGAGTGTTTCGCATTCACTCAGTAATGATGACTCTGTTGTGTGAGACATCATGTGCATGTGTAACCACACACACACACAGACACACACAAACGCCAACACAAGTGCATAAATTATATATTCACCTTCAGATCTCCTGAACAACATGTATGTGTGACTATTTGAATGAAACCTTGAACATTATTTCCATTTTACTGCCTCTAGTATTAAATGGTTAGTTTGTCAAGAAAAAATAAATAAAAATAACAAATTCACACTTTACTACAAGTGGAATTTAACCTTGCAGATATTCAGGTAACAAGTTCCAAGTTACCTGAAAGGTATACAGAGCTTGCTGTGAACACTTTTCAGTGTTTTAGTTAATCATCAGTCTAAAAAATCGCAAATTGCACTTTATCCATATCTGGAAAGGCGCAAACTGTTCCTCTCGTCTTTGAATTCTGAGCAACAGAGATCTCATATAAAACAAAAACTATCTGAATGACTAGGGGATTTTTTTTTTGTGATTTGGATAAACTGAACATTTAAAGTCCCCCTCCTCAAATATGTGTTTCATTTGGATGTTTGAGCTTCACTGTGCAGAATGATGTATGTGTAGGGTTTGACACTAGAAGGTTGTTTTCACATTAATCTTCTGAAAAGGAAATGTTTCTGTGTGCTCAAATTAAATCTGTCTGGAGGGAACCTTCAAAGAATATTTCAAGAAAATGGCCTATGATGAATGCACTTTAACTCAAATAGGTTGGATTTCATGACATAATGCTTCCTGGATGCCAACAACTTTAGTTTGTCAAACACCTCCAACCTATCTTTCTCTCCCTCTCCATTCCCTTCTTTTCTTCCTTTGTATTCTCTTGCTTCTACCTTTCCTCCATCACTCAGGTATGTGGTACTCCAGAGTACATCGCTCCAGAGGTGATTCTCCGTCAAGGCTATGGAAAGCCAGTGGATTGGTGGGCCATGGGCATCATCCTCTACGAGTTCCTGGTAGGCTGTGTGCCTTTCTTTGGAGACACTCCAGAGGAGCTGTTTGGACAGGTCATCACAGGTTAGAAGATTTAAACCTATGCTCACCTTACCTATGTTACCTTCTTTTAAGACTCTCAAACTGCACATTTTTAGCAATCGAAAGCAAACCACAAAAGCTGTACATTGTATTTTATTTATTATCTGGGTTTCAGGGTTAGTGTCTTTCTTTATAGTAAGAGGTTCATAGTAAGTGTACTACACTATTTTACCACCACTACCACAAATTTTAGAAAACAAATTATGTATGCTTTATAGATCATACCATGTATCTCAAGCATGTGATGCAGTTTGAGCAGAGCTTTTAAGACTAAAACATTTTGAGAACTACTCCAGAATAGTTTTCTTCCATGATTAATATTTCTTTTTTCTCTGGTGACATGCAGGTATTATGGGCAGTTCTGCAGGAGTTTGGAGTAGCCTTAATTTGTCATCTTGAAAACTACTTCAAAAGGTGGCCATTTCTTTTTCTCTTTGACCTTTTGCTGTCTCTTTGTTGTCTGTCTTAGACGATATAGTTTGGCCAGAAGGTGATGACGCCTTGCCTGCAGATTCCCTGGCACTCATTTCCGCCCTGCTGCAGACCAACCCTCTTGTGAGGTTGGGTACAGGTACTAACTCTTCTGTTTACTTGTTATCAAAGCTCTCATCTGCAGACATTTTGCATCTGTATTAGAAATGAATAGTGCCATTAATGAGAACTTATCCAAGAAGCACTCAGGCTTGCATACATTGTGTTAAAACATTATTGATTAAGTTGCGCTATAAAATGAACTCAGCATTCCACAAATATGACTTTATCCATATATCCAGTCATTTTGCGCCAATTATTCAGGTCACCAGTCATGATGGCGGCAGGTTAAGCAAGTTAGTCAAAATTTTCATATCCCCAGAAATGTCTTACAGCTTCCTGGTGAGATATATAATACTTCCAGTCTGACCTCCAAAGCATTGGATCATCAGGAAGCATCCTTATCAGATGCCTGAACCATCTCAACTGACTGCCTGTGACACAAAGGAGCAGTGGCTCTACTAAAAGCTTGCTCTTTACCTCGTCTCTAAGTATGAGCTGCTAAATGCTTTACTATGTCTACCAGCTAGTTACTAACTTTGTTTGGTTTTTAGTGAGTGCACTGAGAGCGAACATTTGCGTTACGGAAAACCCCAAAAAATTTGCTGAAAGTTGCTTAATCGCTCTGTAGTACTGAGGAAAACTGTGGGGCGATAATCTCTGAGTTTGTCACTATGAGAGGCTCCTTCCACATAAAAATTGTCATGTGACCCACTGTTATAATATAACAATATTGATTTAAGCACCTTTAAGTATACTGTGCAGCTGTACTGTATTTTGAATGAGGCTGACAGGTTGCGTTGTTTGTGCCCCTGCCACTAGGTGGAGCGTTTGAGGTGAAGCAGCACTCATTCTTCACAGAGCTGGACTGGAACACTTTGCTGAGACAGAAAGCAGAGTTCATCCCTCACCTGGAGTCAGAGGAGGACACCAGCTACTTTGATAGTACGTTCCTCTGGATTTATGTGTCTATAACGTACAGCAGTTACATCAATATTAGGTTTATGGGTTGTACAATAATTTTCCAACACCATTCCAGTCAGAGATACAGATTTTATGTTCAACTGTCGGCTCATATATTTCATACCCTATCTCACTCCTTCCCTCGCCAGCCCGCTCGGATCGCTATCATCACATCAATACGTACGACGAGGACGACACCAACGACGATGAGCCTGTAGAGATCAGACAGTTTTCTTCCTGCTCCCCTCGCTTCAGCAAGGTTTGACTTTGACCTCTCCTCTTTCATCTCTCTCTTACCCTCGCTGTCATTCTAACTCTGTTTTCCTTTTTTTCTCTCACTGGGTAAGCCTGTTACATTTTGTCACTTCATTTGACAGGATTAGATGAGGAAGGAGAAAGGAGTCTTAGATAAAACGAGGTCTTACTGTACAGAGAGTAGCACCTGGAGGCTAGACTCAGGTCTCATAGGTGGAGTTCAGAAAGTCTTACTGGGCTGTTGCACCAGCTCTTCTCATTCCTCTTGTCTGTCTATTTTAAGCCACTCAGAGGCCCATGTACCTTTAATGCCCTTTGCGCTACTTTTCTACAGATGTGTGTTTAATGACCCAGACAGTCTTTCATCCTTATTTAATTTTTCACATCCACTCCTTCCATGCCCAGATCTCTTTTAAATTCTGATCTGTGACTCTCTCTCTCTCTCTCAGCATGCCAGCGTGTTCTTCTTCTGTCACACATTCCCTCTCGAATGGGATTTTCTCGCCTCATGTTGTCGTGTTTTTTTTCTCCTCTCTCGACTCTCCCACTTCCATCCTCTCTCACTCACTCTGTCTTTCACCTGGGCCATCCTCTCATGTTTGGGTTGTGAAGTTGTGAAGGAGCTCTTGAGAAAATACAAAGTGCCTCATTGAGGGCCCAATTTCAATTAAATTTGAGACGTTTTTTGAAGTTACAGTTTAGGGCTTTTGAGTGGCCTCGCTCAAGCTGCTGAATACACACACATAAGGAGGTATACAGCGAACACACGTATTTGAGTCGTTGTAATTTATTAATGAAGAGCTGCAATGATTAGTCGATG